TGTGCATTTACAAAAATACAAATATATGGTGAAAGGCATTTGTTGATTTAGATTAGAGTATTTGATATATTTAAAGCATTGCTGTGTAATTCTGTGCATGACATTCATGGTTTTTAGTAGTAATTTTAAATACCAATTCCTGCTATACAAAATAAACAGCATTTGTTGAAATGATGTTGTTTTGCGGTTCCTGTATTTCATGTGATTCTAATTTATTCTCAGATCACTTAGAATGGATTTCTGGTTTTGCTTTTTAAAGGGGGCACTACTTAGCATTTTCTATTTAGCTATTTTTTTTTTGAAGTGTATTTTGCACACCCTATTCACATTCTTCACTGCAAGCTTTTTTTCTATTTGTTTGTTTTGGCTTTTTTCAGCTATGGTGGCTTTTTCATCCCTACTTCATCTACCATTCTTTCAGCGCAGGCAGAAGTATTGCAGAACTTATTTATGTAAGATTTAGTAATTTCACTGACAAGAGTAAAACTTGAAGTTGATTGCGTGAATGATTTCCTTGGACAAGTCTGAAGGTAGTCTGATTGTGAAATAGTTGTAGGTGCTTCAAGAGTAATCTGAATTGCTTCTCTAATAAGAAATAAAAATCATACTTGAATATCTGTGTTTTCCGTGAGAAGAACAACTAAACATTCAACTCCATACTTTGCATGTTATCCTAGGTTCAATTTTTGGGAAGTTTGGTGGAGTTTTGGTAAGAGTTACCTTGCCAGAGACTTGATACATAATGGATGGATTTCAACAGAAATCAGAGGAAGATTGAGAGCATTTCTTTGCTGGAAAGAGGAAGCATTTTCCTGTAAACTTGCAAGAAGACGAGGAGAAACTAGTTCGTTATCCTATATGTATGTACTTTGTACATACTACTTTGTTCCTTAGGAACAATTCAGCATACGTTATTATAGTTTCCCCCTTCCCCTGACCCCTTTTTTCTTAATTGAGGTATCGTGTCCTCAAGTTATGCGCTCTTCCCTCATCTCGTGAGGCCTTCTGCTGTTCCCTAACCTGGAGTCAGGATCCTGTAGGAACCTCCAGCATAAGACGTAGGGCAGTCTCCACTACTTGGAGTGAGTCTTCAGATATTTGATATATTTCTTGGGATCATGCAGAAGCTTAGGTGTCTCAGTACTTTATTTAAAAAAAAAAAAAAATTGAATAGAGTATCCAAAAGCTATCTCTAGGTTCTGGTATGCAGGACAGTAAAGGGAAAAGCTAAGTATACTCATTCATAAATCCAGATGTTTAAGCAAACAAAACAATAGTGAACAAAGCTCATGAACTCATAAATCGGCATCAGAAATTTGTATTGTTCGATTCAAGATTTTTGAGCATTTGTAGGTAGAATACCATACCATTGGAAGTTTAATTGTTAGATTTGGACTTCTCACCACATTAGTTAGTTCATGAACCTTACTACATATTTGCTAGTGTTTTTTAAATAGTTCAGTGGAAAAATACACAGTGAATTATATTGTAGAGGGGTAAAAATTGTTCAGGGGCTTTTATCAGTTTAGCTCCACTCTCATATTGCTTATTATCCGAGAGACTTGAATTAAAAAATATTCTGAAGTTATAACTGGATATAGTTTATTTGATATTCTGGTTTATTCTTTCATTATGGTTCCAAGATTTCTTGAATTTATACTTAAACTGGTGATATTTAGAGGTTAAGACCTGATGACTTTCTTAGATTCTTCTTAAATAATTTGAAAGAAAACACATTCCCATTGTTGTTTTGTGTGGTTTTTGTTTGGCCTCATAATTTTTTTTCTTTGTTGATTTCCTGCAGTAAATAAGAAATGTGTTTATATGCTAAAAAAATACTTAGAATCCTTCTTCTGTACAAATGATAAGGCTTTTTGGAGCCTGCAAAGGATTCGGAAAAAACATATATTTTTCATTCTGTTTCTGCCTGAGAAGAATCATTAGCTCATGCAGAATTCAGTTTTCATAGACTGACTTTACAGATGGCCTGATAAGGCCTTTTTAAGGGCTATACATCTTCCTCTTTTTCTGGAGTTTTGAACTCATATGGAAAATGCATAAAATTTTTCAAATTCTTTGGACTAGACAGCTAGAAATCTAGGAGTGTAAGCAGTTTAAGGTGATAGCACTCAATGAGGAATTGTACTTTCTTTTCTTTTGCTAGGTTGCATTGCCACTTTTCTAGCCTGAATTCAGAAACTTAATTAACATGATGCTTACTGTTTGTCTTTTAACTTCAGTTTTAGCTGAGAGGGCTTATTTCTAGCTAAATGAAAATTTAGGTATTGATATAAAGTCACTTGAGTTCATATATTTGATGTGTGGCTTATTTTTGGAGTTATCTTTCTGCAGAAAATGAATGCTGTCCTGGACCATAACACACAATAATCCCATTAGTTCATCTCATACATCTGTTTTCTTGCATTTACCAGGGTCACTTTGGGTTTGGAAATTAGTCTTTGCATTGCTAACCCAATTTCAGTAGAGGCAGGTGAGGTCTCTTTCAAAGGCTTTTAAAAAGTGGTTTGTGCCCCATCTCTTTCTAGATGAGGTTTTTGTTAAATATTTGTTTTTGAAATGTTTGCTTGAAATACTGAAAATGAAGTTTCCATATCAATGCTTTTAAAGTTGTATACCTCTGACAAAGATAGTTGGATGAAATTTCTCTGATTTGATAGAAAACAAACTGATTCTGCTGTTTATTTTTTATGCTTTAGTTCAGTTTGCACAAGTTGATAGTAGACTTGGATTATAAGAACTTTACGGCCTGAGTCTTTATTTTATTTAGTTATTAGCACCATGGGAAATCACAGAATCACAGAATGGTTTAGGTTGGAAGGGACCTCTGGAGATCATCTAGACCAACCTCCCTGCTCAGACTCCACATCTTCTCTGGGCAACCTGTGCCAGTGCTCTGTCACCCCCACAGCAAAGAAGTTTTGCCTCATGTTCAGATGGAACTGCCTGTGGTTCAGTTTGTGCCCGTTGCCTCCTGTCCTGTTGCTGGGCACCACGGAGAAGAGACTGGCCCCATCCTCTTGACACTCCCCCTTCAGATACTTGTACACATACATCAGATCCCCCTTAAGCCTTCTCTTCTCCAGGCTGAACAGGCCCAGCTCGCTCAGCCTTTCTTCACAGGAGGGATGCTCCAGTCCGCTAATCATCTTCGTAGCCCTCCGCTGGTCTCTCTTCAGTAGCTCCATGTCTCTCTTGTACTGGGGGAGCCCAGCACTGGACACAGGACTCCAAATGTGGCCGCACCAGGGCTGAGGAGAGGGGCAGGATCACCTCCCTCCACCTGCTGGCAACACTCTGCCTAATGCACCCCAGGATCCCCTTGGCCTTCTTGGCCACAAGGGCACGTTGCTGCCTCGTGGTGAGCTTGTTGTCCACCACGACTCCCAGGTCCTTCTCTGCAGAGCTCCTTTCCAGCAGGTCAACCCCCAGCCTGGACTGGTGCAGGGGGTTAGTCCTCCCTAAGGGCAAGACCCTGCACTTGCCTATGTTGAACTTCAGGAGGTTCCTCTCCGCCCAACTCTCCAGCCTGTCCAGCTCCCTCTGAATGGCAGCACAGATCTCTGGTGTGTCAGCCACTCCCCCCAGTTTAGTATCATCAGCAAACTAGCTGAGGGTGCACTCTGTGCCTTCCTCCAGGGCACTGATGAATAAGTTGAACAAAACTGGGCCCAGCACTGACCCCTGGGGGACACCGCTAGCTACAGGCCTCCAACTAGACTTTGTGCCGCTGACCACAACCCTCTGAGCTCGGCCATCCAGCCAGTTCTCAAGCCACCTCCTCACTGTCCACTCATCTAGCCCACACTTCCTGGGTTTCCCTAGGAGGGTGTGCTGGGAGACAGTGTCCAAAGCCTTGCTGAAGTCCAGGCAGACAACATCCACTGCTCTCCCCTCATCTACCCAGCCAGTCATCCCATCATAGAAGGCTGTCAGATTGGTCAAGCATGATTTCCCTTTGGTGAATCCATGCTGACTACTCCTGATCACCTTCTTGTCCTCCAGATGCTTAGTGAGGAATCCAGTCTCACTGGTTAGAGGTGTGCAGTCTTGTAATAGTTGAGTGATTTTTTTTTGGTTGTACAGCAAAATGCTGTTAAGGCATCAAGTTCCCATGAAGACTTCTTTCCCACTTGATTGAAGAAGTTGATAGAATTTATAGGTGTAACTAAATGTAAAACTAGAAATGGCAATTTTTAAAAGAGGAAATCATTCTTAAAAATGTAAAAGATCTCCATTTCTAATTTTGAAGGGAAATATCAGAACTTTTCCAAAAGTCTTTCAGGCTTTCCTCAAAAATCATGGAGAAAAAAAGTTACAACCATCTTTCCTATTTCTTACTTCAGTATCTTTGAAGTACTTTAAAATTCAAATGCAGTATTTTTATTTTGCTGTTGTGGTATTGATCTGGATTAAATAAATTAGTCCAGGGAATGAAAAGGTTACTATAATCATGTCTTCCATAGGGTATTGGGTGCAAAGACTTTAGTCTTGATGATTCCATGGCAACAACCACCATTATAATTATTGGTAACTTTTTTTTTTTTAAAAGATGAATGAAGATATAGTTAAAATCTTTAATACTCTATGAATCTTGAAAAACTTTCTCTACCTTTAGAGAGATTTTATAAGGGGAAAGCCCTGTCCTAAATGGTCTTGTAGTTCATGTCAAAGATAGTGGTTGTCTTGTTTCAAAGAAAATAGAAATGTTAAGCTGGACCGGTTGGTATGGGCTGGAACTAATACTGCTCGTTCGAGTTGCTTCCTAGAAGGCAAAACTGATTGGGCAAAAATTGAAAGAAAAGATAGCAAAAATAAAAAGTGCAGCTTCCGCTCCAGAGATCAGCTCTAATTTGATGATCTTGTGGCTAAGTTGTTGTATTGGCTCTTGTGAGATGTGTTGAACTTGCAGTTCTGTAGGCTGCTTTGTGTCTTAAATGGCCATTGCTTTTAACAGCTTCTAGTCATGGACTCAAAGTATTATGTCAAAAGAAACAGTCTTATATAGAAAAGATGAGAAATGTGGAAAGAAGAAATTAAATGGGAAATGTATGAATACACCGAACAGTGGAGATGAAGATAATAACTCATGTCTTCTGTTTCATATGGTACTGAGGATTAACATAAAGCTATGTAAAGAGGAGATACAGTGTCTTCTATCTAACCAACTTTAATGCAGTTCTGGCTAATGAAGAGCTAATGAGAGCTGTGATATCTTAGTAAAACTGTGAGATTCCAGGAGTTTGGGAGAAAAAGGCGACTGGGTAACTGATGGCCATAAAAATGGTGATTTTTCTTTTATGTCATATATTGTCCTGGAACAGTCTGTGCCACTATATATATTGTCCTTTTATATCTCTTATTAAGATTAAAAAACTAGTAACAGGTGGAGTAGTCCACACTCTTATGATTTTACCTGTTAACTAGACCTTGCTGCCAATATGATATCCTTGACTTGTTAATTTCTAATCTGATGTTATACTGTTTAGCAGATTTGATCTTTGTGCAGTCCATGAATTATGCCCATGTGCTTTGTTATTGTTCTGTCTTCATCTTTTGCCAATTTTTATACTAAAATTTTTATGTAAGGAATAGTTTCTGTTTTTTTGTTTGTAATATTACAACATCTATATGAGGGCTTTCAGTAATATAACTGTTGGTTTAAAAGTACTCCAGAGCAAAATAATTACTTATCCTGAAAAGCTTTTAGTTTATATTAATTTTATATTTTTCTTGGTCTCACTTAAGAATCTTCTTAGAAGCCTTCATATGATACAGGTTAGCTGGGCATGTGTGATGAAAGACTGATTTGCTGTCTATTTTAAAGTAAAATCGAAGAGCTGCATATGATAAAGATTCAAGTATCTAACCTTTTTCTATTTTTCTTTAATTTTGAAGAAAAATGTTTTTTTTTTTCCCTTAGTGGAGAGAAAACCAGTGTCCAAGCTTAATTTTGAAGTAGGTGTTAATGAACTCACTGTTCATTAATAGAAATTGTAGCATGCTGCTAGAAGTGCCAATAGTTGGTACAGCAAAAGGCAGCCTTGTGTATAATGTTGACTGCTACTGCCTTATGTCATGTTTTATACTGTTAATGTCGGTTGTTGTTCTTAGTCTTCCTTCTAAAATTCTGTGTGGTTAAATCTTTTCTCCATCCAGAGAACTGTTTTCTGTGGTTTTAATTACAGGTGAGTAATTTGCTGGGATTCTCACTAGAATTAAGCTTTTTTTTTTTTTGCTTTTGTTTCCAAATAATTGTCCTATGAACATGCACACTATTGCTTTCAAGGTTATGCATACATATGATGTATTTTTGTCTTTATTTCCATTTTTAAGGCTGATAAAGAATTTGTATGGTCTTTGTGGAAACGTCTTCAAGTGTCAAATCCAGATATTACACAAGCTGTCAGCTTGATTGTAGAAAGGTAAGTAATTTTTAATTTAGGAAAATGCAAATTTTAAAAATAACGTTACAAAAGTTCCCTTGTTAAATTTTATCAAATATTTATCAAAATTTTATTTTATACTTTTTAGTTGTAAGTTTTGTACATTGTACCTGTTCTAATTTCCTTTTGTTGGTGCAAGTTGAAATATGCTTTAAAATCTATTTTTGCTGCGGTTGCTGTGCTGGCATTGAATTCAATTCTTGAAACAGATTATAAGCATACTGCGTATTCTTATTCTTCTGCTGAAACAGCAAAAGGAGGTAAATGACATTCAAGTTTCATAAGAAGTTAGATAGCAGTTCTATGTTTCGATTGTGTATGTTTACTCTAAAAAAAGTGAAAGCCTCAGACTTCACAAGACAAAAGATGACTATGCAGCTTAAATTATATTCCTTAGAGGATATTAATGAAAATAATTTCCTCATGGCACATATCCATTAGCATCTGACTACTATAAATATTAATTAGTCATCACAGTATGTCATTGATAGTTTCTGAATGTTAATATTTACATATGACTCTCTTTTTCTTTGCCAAAGGTAGGGGAAAATGTGAATGAGATGATAATGTAGCTGTCTTAGAACTTAATCATTTGATTGTGTCTCTTAGGGTGCCCTGGGTTCTTCTTTTATTTTTTCTTCATCTTCTTTAAAGAAAAAGCTAGATGTTGCCTTTGAAAATTGCTTTAAATAGCTGCCAAGATTAGTTGTGAAGCTTGTCATAGAAGCAGGAGGGATTCTAGTTTTTTGGGGTATCTGTTCACTGCTTTAATCTTAAAAGGCATTTTTTTTTGTTTGTTTACATCTTTCTTTTCTTGACTTGACTAGTTAACATTCCTCAACTTTTGAAAATAGAGTGTTAGTTCTTTAGCTTGGAGTGCATTTGCTGTAATGTTGTCCCATCGTCTGTGCATCTTCTGCATTGCGTTAAGCAATGAAAATTTTATCAAAAAATAGCATATGATCATGTAATTAAAACTTTAAAAAAATCATTTAAAGTCACTTTAGCTTATCCTCATTCATACAGATACTTTAAAAATATGGAAAATTTGAGCCCATTCACACATGATTTAGTAAGTTAAAAACAGTACTGTAGTGGGAAGTGTACAGGCTCATCAATATTTTTTTTTATTGGTGTTGCATATAAAGATCATCAGGATCTTAAGACAAAGTCAAGCATAGGGATGTTAAAAAACATATTTTTAAAAAAAGTTAGATATAATAAACGGTCTTGGGCTCTTGTATGTCTGTATGAGATATAGTATGTCTTCATTATTTGTTTATCCTACTTTGTGCCTAGGAATGTTTTTATGCTTGGTTGTTTTCCTTTGCTTTGATGTAGGTTGTGCTTAATTTAGAACAGAAATTGTGATTGTGTATGAATTATCCTGATAGTTGCAGTGAACTTCTATGTTTAAGTGGGGCTTTTAGATGCCACCTTGTCGCATACAAGAATGATAACGAGCTAATTTTTTTTTCATTGTGATAGGAAATATTTGTGACGTTTGTAGTGTTCTACCTACCTTTGCCATTTATAAAAATTGTCTCTTCTGTATGAAATTGAAGATCAACATAATATTTTGTGTGCTTGTATTGGCCTTTATATGGACAGGCTGGTGACTGGTATGCTTAGGCAAAAGCATGACAGCATACTTATATTCAGGTTCTTGTCCAATTTTTTATGTCCTCCCTTCTTCCTTTAGAAGAACACTGATGCTTTAGAACAGCTTGGGTGAACTCAAGGCCATACAGCTGTATCATACCTTTCTCAGCGTTATGGAGTTAAGAAGGAAAGATTGCTTCTGTAGCATTTCTTTAGGTGCTATCATTACCGCAGAGAATCCTGGAATAGGTTTGGATAAAACCCATTCAGTATAGATGAATTTTATTAATCACTTCTTTGAACTTTGGGTTTGCTTTGATTTTGGCAGATGGAGAAAAAGTATGTTATTAGTATATTAGTGCTAACATTAATGTATAAGTAGAGCAGCTTTTCTCTTTAATTGATATAGCTTCATCTCTTTTGGTTGAGAAGGGTCTAATTGCCAATTTGGAAATAATTTCTAGCCCAACTTTATCTGTGAAAATTCTTTTCTGCACCTTCGCGTTACTGCTCCATGTCTTTTGTCCTAACTTTTCCAGCTATAGTTTTCATTATCTTTTTCCTAGGCTGTTCATTCCTTTCAGCACTCTCCTCATTTTAGAAAATGTTTGTCCTATTCCCTACCTTACAGCACAAAATAAAAATTTTGGTATTAGCGCAGAACTGTTATATCTCAGTTCAGGTATGTTAATTAGATTACCTTGGAATCTACTACCTTGGCATTGCTGCCAGCCAGAAAACTATAGAACTAGTAATTTTCTGGTTTTGTTGATCTACCAAAAACATGCAGGTTTAAAGAAAAATTACACGAGGTTGCTAAAAAACATTTATAAGGAAAATGATTTCTGAAGTGAGTCGCTCAGCAGGTAGTATCTGTGGTGCTCACAGCAAATGTTTCTACATTCTACATAGTTGTCCCAAACAAGAACTGCAAACTGAAAATTTACACTTAAAGAAATCTGAAAAAATAACTCAAATCTCCCAGAGACTTTTTCTTCCCCTCTCATCTATATTATGGACTGTTGACTCAGTCATCCTACCGAAGCCAATAAGGTTTTGTGTCTTGTCTCAGCTTACTAGGAAATTTTGAAATGGATGCAGATAGGATGAAATGGATGTCAACCTTCTATTGCTTTTCTTTGTGACTGCGTGACATCAATAGCACAAATTTTTGCATAGTGTAATTTTTCCAGTGTGTCCTTGCCACTGTAAATTCCATAACTAGCTAACTAACTAACTTTCAGTGCTCACTGAGTCATCTGTCTTCATTAGAGTTTATCTGAGAATACAGGGCAGCTATTTATGGGAACATAACAGAATTTACAAAAGAATAGGTCATCCTGTGTCCTATATCATATGGATGATGAGCCTATTAATATTATCTACCATATATTGGAAGAAATTGAAAGGGTAGTGCTAGCCATATAGTTAGGTAACTTACATTTTTAGCATTAGATGCTATTATTTATAGTACCTTTTCCGTCCCCAAGTATTACAGAAAAATATAAAGGGTATAATTTGGGGCGGGGTGGTGGTGTGAAATTAAGAGTAGGTTTCTGTTATTTGACTGCTATTTTGAAATGCTTTCATAGTCCCAAAATAGAAGTTCACCTGCCCTAAAAATGTAAAAATATAACTGCTGCCTTTTTCTGGCTGTGCTGTTAAAAGTGAAATATCATTGGTGTATTACTGGAATTCAGCAGTCTTTGCAGTTCTTGCTGGGTAGCTGTATTCTCATTTTAATATTCAGATATAAACAAAAAATTATCTTTACTGTGCAAATGAGAAATGCCTTTGGGATATGTAAAAGCCTCCAGGTATTTTCAAACAAGCGACTGTAAAAGTATATCTCATGTTAGTGTACTTTCAAGCTACTTTAAATACTATTGATCTCAGTATTATGTAAAAAAAACATGCTATTTCTAGTTCACTGAAGCCTTTTGAAACACTCAATTTTTTTGATGATGAATTAAAAAAAAGGTACTTTCTAGCACCTTTTACAGGTAAATTCATATAAAAGCTCAAATAGAGTTAGGTTTCAGATTAGATTATCAAAGATTTTGAAGCCTTTATGTAAACCTTGGGAGCCCTCCCTGAGACTTTTCTAATACATAAAATCTTGAAAGGATGAACTGATTCTGGCTTTCCTTTTCAGGCTTCTAGTTGGCTCACTCACTTATGAAAGGGAGATGCAGTTGAATCTAGTAGTGATCAGACTGTGGCAGTGATAAACACTTAGTAGATGGGGATTGTATTATTGTAGATTATACCCTTGCAAACACATACAGGCTTGCCTTAATTATGTTTTCCATGCCTAAAATCCAATTGTGTTATGTCTTACAAGACTTGATAAACTCACTTTTAGTTTGAGGCAATGAGAATCTGAATGCTAGCTCCAGCCTTATAAAGATTCTGTTCTTATTCCTGGGAAGTTATTTCTGTCTGAGGATGTGAAACTAGACTGAAGAGCAAGTGCTCAGAAATAACTGAAGAACTGTTGAAATGGTATCATAGAAACTTACTATGCTGCAGTTTGTTGCATCGTTATACTTGTATTGTGGATAGCGCATTGTCAAATCAATGTTAAACATCAGGTTGTCGTAGGTTCCTCACTGAGTGAAGATAAGCAGATGTACAAAGAAGACATACTTCCTGTGCAAAAGGATCAGTGAATGTTCTGTATATATGAGCAATATAGATTGCTGATGTTAATTGAAAAATAAAAGAGCTGCAACTCGCATCTTTCAAAGAGATGATAAATTGCTTTCAGAAGCTTTTTTACAGCACTTATCATTTTACTCTTGTCATTCTGCTTCCTGCTAATTTGGACGAGAGAACTAAGTAGTAAGCAAGAGTTGACACATTTCAAAGGTGCATTGCCATTTTGTCATTCTGAATTTAAAATAGAATGTACTCCCAAGTTATTATCACTCAATAAAGTGGACAGAATAATAGAGCGTAAGGGTATAACCTTTCTATCTAAGGTCAAATAATTGTGATTGTCTACAGTTGATGAAAGCTTAATATCCTATTTCATTAAAAATTCTCAGAACATTGAACATAAGTCAACATTCCATGGAGAAGAAAGTATTATGCAGCTTGCATGTGTGCATATCTGCATATCGGAGCACAAAATATTGACATGATAATTGCAGTCAAGCCTGATTGAACAGTGGCCTCTGGGAATTCAGCTGGTGTTGTACCAACTGGATGGCTGCTCAGGACACAGTTTGAAATGCAAGGTGCAAGTTAGCACTTTATTCAGCACAGGCAGGCATCATTTAAAAATCCTTAGGGGAAACCCTGGTGATGTGCAGATGTTAAAACAGTCTGTTCTGAAGTGCTGATATTTTGAACACTGTAAGAAGCTTGTGTAT